TATACATACATACACACCACCACACACACACACACATATATATATATATATTTATACAAATATGCATACATACATATATACATACATACATACATACGAACATACATTCATACATACATACATACATGAATATATGCGTATATACATACATATATATATACCTACATACATACATACTTACATACATACATACATACATACATATACATATACATACATATACATGTAAATACATACGTCCCTACATACATACATATATTATTTGTGTTTGGTGTTTCATATATATACATACGTCACTTCATACATACATCTACTATTTGTGTTTGGTGTTTCATAACTTTTATTTCCTTATTATACCACAAATAAACATGTTCCAATTGTAATGAGTTCACGACATAGGTCTCGGATGCTGCATAAACTTTGCTTCAGGTACATCATCATAAATTACAGTAACCTCGTTCTATATATACTGGTACATAAAAGTGTACACCGTACATCCACTGTGTACTGCTTTTTGTATACAATTGCATATACATATATATCAATCATCTAAGCCCACCTAGAGTTTGTTTTTCACGTAATTTAACATCTCCTGCAAGATGATCGATTCAGGTGCTTCATCATGAGTCGCAGCTATTCCAAAACCATGGTACTGGCCAGTAGCGACGGAGAGCTCAGTTGGCACGCCTGACTCCGTTAACTTAGCCGCGTACGCTTCACCTGCAGGTGAAATGAAAGTAATTTATTTGCTTGTAAACATAATATGTACTTTATATAGATATCGGCATACACAAGTACAATATATCCCCCAAAAGCAAAACACTCGCCAATGATAGATAGTGGCTGACATTATGCGCAAGCAAACGTACGTCAGTGTAAATAGATTGGGACTATCTCAAAATAAGATTCAAAATAAGCCTATCTCTTAACCGAGGCAGTTCAATTCCAATCTAATTCTAATCAAGCAGCATCTGAATATAGTGTGAACAACAATCACAATACTGATAATAATGTCAATAGTGGTGTTGATCAAGATGCGGATGAGAAATTGTTGCTGACCTACGTGCTCACTGCGACGAAAGAGTTACAGCTGGCAAACGAGCATCACACATTCTATAGGCGTATACCTTCGTGCAGCACAGTGTACCACTAGTACAGGGGTAAACGAATGCTGCAAGCAAAGACATGCACATACAATTGCGAATCTAGTATTTTTTCAGATTCGGCTTGTGACTAATACAGATCCATATAAAGGTTCCTAAAAATAAAGGCCAACATTTGCCATATGAATATGTATCGAACAGTATACCTTCTCGCGAGTACCTCACGCCTCGTATCGCAGTAAGATGTGAACGAAATAACTTACACAATATCGCAGTGTTACATGGATACATACACATACAATAAATATATATATATATATATATACATATATATATATATATACACACACACCATATATATATATATATATATATAAAACCGTTGCCGTCAGATGTCAGGGTAACCCCCAAATTTATGGGAAGGCACACAACCGGCAGTCTAACCACCTCTATGTAACACCAAACTCTCCAAACCCTCGACTCTACCTTCTGATCGGAGAATATCGTGCTCTGCGACCAAGACAAAGGCCGGAGGCAGGTCTTTCATCTCTTCCTTGGGGGCCTTTAGCGGGGCAAACAACTTGTCATCCAACGTGGAGATAGGATTCGTACCCAGATAACGGCTCCAAAAGTACACCATCACATTCCGTGGAAGACCTACTGCCGCGTCGCCGTACTTGCGCGCCGATTGCGAGAACACGTACGAAGCGTCCACACAGGGGTACAGCAGTACCTGGGAACGATGGTATAGTATAATTTCGATGGAGATGTGTTAATAATGTTTCATTCCGTGTTTAAATTGGAAATAGAATCTAGTAGTTACCTATCTGCAGTAGTTCACCGCTCCTTTACTCTGTCACAATCGGTGCAACATTGCTCATTTTAACAGGAGTTCAACGTGGTTTAGAATAGGCTCAAGCTCAAATCCACGACTTATTTCCATATACATAGCTATATATGTTCAGTACACATGTACAATGAAAAATTGCTTGCTTAAACTCTAATTTTAATACAAGATAGATATATTATATATATATATATATATATATTTATATATGTATATATTCACACATACATATATGTATTTATAAACAGATTTACATCCACAATCCCATCTGCATTAAATTAAAGGTCAACGATTCGATTTTCTGAGACCGACCAGCATAACAGGCACCTGGACCGAGATCATACAGTGAAAACCGATTACTCCAATATTAGTTAAAATGCCTGTTTGACTTCATAGAACTCCAGTACGTGCCCTTGGAAATGGCCATTAGGTTACGAATATTACGACCAAAACTATTTCTATGAGCTGTGCGTGTCTGTAAGTACAGCAGCATATCGCTTGAGAACTCCAGGGCATTACTCATCATATAGTTTTTTACACTTAGCACTATCTTGGGCTACCCACCTGTTGTTTGATGGATATCTTATTTTTCTTGTCTGAGTACAGTTTCAGAGTTACAGCTGCCGCTAGATTCCCGCCAGCACTATCTCCCATGACACTTAGGCGGTTTCTGGGGAATAGGCATGTGCATGAAATCCAGATATAGCCATAAATATGTGTTCAAGCTTAGATGTGTCCATTGTGTGAGAGCATTGTCTGATAATCAGGTATGTCACACACAACAGTTGCCATTCCATTGCAACCAGCCCGAATCATCCAGTTGCAATATTACTTCGTGTGTAGTGGATAAAAAAAAAAGTGAAAGCAAACATCCAAACCAAAATCACTTCAGATTTATATGTAGCTGACAAAATGGCATCATTCCAAGCACAGGCTATTCAAACGCACTAGATATGTTTTTAGATTATTGTTCCGTCATACTATACACCAATAAAACAGGTACCCAAGAGGAAGAGTATACCCAGACACACGTGCGTATATACATTGTTCATCGACTATTCATACACACTTGTACACACAGAATTCCGGCACAAATACCTATATATGTATCGCACCTACACATACATAACAAAATGTGACCAAAACGGCATATAAAAATCCTTCTTAGCCTAAGCACATGTGTACCTGTTAATGTTCAAGTCAGCCGATTTGGCATGTATCCACTTCATCACGCACTCAACCTCCTCTAAAGGCTGCGGAAATTGACTTGCAGGAGCCAGCGTGTAGTCGGGTGCAAATACTATAGCACCAGTTTTGTGCACGATATGGCGTATCATGAATCTGTACGTTGGTATATCACCTGAGGACAATGATGCAGTAGAAGGCCATACGGAATGATAGCTGTGAATTTTATATGCATAAGCCGCTAGCGGTAGAAAAATAAACAATACAGTAAATTATTTGTATAGGATGACAACGTTTCGTAATTATACAGGCCAAAAACCGTACGCTGTCGAGAAAGACTCCGAACATAGCGACTGAAC